TTAGTATTCTTTTTCTCTGGCAATTTTAGTAACCTAGTTGGTCATATGCTTCTCTATACATCTTGCTATTTAATTTATTTGTCTATCTCTTTTGGGGTGTTTTATGAGCTTCCATTAGTTTGATAGTACTGTTGAAAGTTTTGTATTACCTTCTTATTTGAAATTTCTAAGTGAGTTTCTGACTTTTCAATTTCTTTACTTTTTATGCCTGGTGGTTAGAGTTTAGAGCACAGGGGCATGGGGCATACCTATGGGCATGCCTCAAGTCCAAAGGGCATGCCCTTGTCATGTGATGTTTAAAGTTATTTTAATTGGCTAATAAGTTCAGATAAACTAGAACTGTAGATACTAAATCAACATGTAAGATTTTTAAGAAGTTGTGAACTATGTGTTAATTATATGATTTAAAAAGAGCATGCCTTAGCTCAGGAGCATGCCCAATTTTTTTCCTATACCCTGAACCCTACTGGTAGTCTTATTGTAGGTTTGCATCAAAGTTTTATACAATACTAGTTATTAACATTTCTTTATATAGGTGTAATATTACATTTTGCATAGATGCTTTGAGCTTTCATTCAAGATAGTGCAACTAAAGGTTACAGATACACTAATTCAACTGATTAACAAAAACAGTTAACATAATATAGACCTATTTTTTAAAATTCATTATGAGATTTGATTTCTCAAAGAAACTTAAATAATCCTACTTATATAATTTATTCATCTTCTAATCTAAGCTTAAATAATAATTAACTAGTATCTACTGATAGTTTTTTTTTTTTTTAACTTAAGCAGTCATGCTAGTACTTTATTAGAATTTTTGATACTATACAGATTACAGAGAATTTTTCTAATACTTAAGTCTAGCATCATTTAGCCATCTTATTAGTACTTAAGTGCAACCTGTCACACTACCTCAAACAGAGATAGACTACTTGTCTGACTGCTGCTCTACAATAGGATACAACCAATTTGAAGATGTCTTCTCATAGAGAAGCAAAAAAAACAAAAAAAAATTTTATATATAAAAAAAAACAGAGGTATAAGGGTAAACGATAAAAGATACAAAACAAAAAATAAAAAAAGGAAAAGAGAAAACAAGAAAAAAGGAAAATGTGAAATTTGCAATTTATAAAAAATCAGATAATCATGATTTTAAGCCTATGTCAGGTATAAAACTTGTAATTCACAGATATCAGACAATCACAATTATAACCTATGTTAAGCTTATAAAAATTATAAACTATACTAAATAGAAATTACTCTACTATTTTTCTATTTACTTAGATTATTTAAACAAAAAACCAAAAAGAAGAAAAAAACTTTGACTTTATTATAGAGAGTCAGTATAAGATATTGGTTAGTTTGGAGACAATGTTTGATAGATTTTTAGCAGCTTAAGATATGTATATAGTTGTGTTTGTATTGCTATATGATTTCTGATCTATGTTATAAACAATTCTGTTTAAGAAGTAAATACTGCTAACTGTTTTGATGATTTTATATATCAATCTTTAGGAGAGAGTAAATTAAATCACCCACTTTTACAAATTTTTTTTTAAAGAAAAAGTGAAAATGCTAAGTAAACCAACTTTTAGCTTTTGTAAGTTCTTAACCCTTGTAGATGTTTTTTGTAAGTTTTATAGTTGTATAGAACTAATATATCCAACTTTGTTGTTTACTTAATAAAAAACTTTGGCTTTCACCAATTACTTCTTCTATAGTTCTAGAGTGCTTTTTAAACCATTACTACAAGGCTGTAACTCCTTTTCAACTCTATTTTAATGTCCAACAATGCATGTACAGTACTTCAGAAAGGTTTTTATAAAGTTTAATATATTAACTATATTATTTTTTGTAGTTCAACTTTTTGGAAAATTTGGTTCAGATAATCATCAGAAAGAGTTGGTATCTACTGAATTATTATTTTAAATTTTTATAAAAAGGATTATATTTTTTTTCAGTTGTTGTTTAATTGTATAATTGTTGTTTATCTTAAGATCTATTTATCTACTAAAAAAGAGATATGATCTATTGTTTATTTACTTTGTTATTTATGTATTTTTGTGTAATTCAATTTGATTTGTTATATAAAAATTCTAACAATTTTTCAAATTTCTAAAAAATTTTGAGAAAATAAACTAAATTGTTCTTTTATACTTTGTATCTTAACTAAGAAAAGAAAATGCTTTTATTAAACTTTATATTATTTTTTGGTTACTTTCTTTTTCTTTAAGAGTCAGAACAGATTTTTTAAGTTAGTTCTTATTTATTGCTACTATTTTTGTCTTGTTTGTTTTTAAAAAAAATGATTAACAAAAAGAGTCAATATTATTTGTACTACTTAATACTAGTTTATATTCCTCTATATAATCAGTTATACAAATGTCTTATAATCTGTCTATTATACTGATATAACTATAATAACAGATATTTTAATCAAATTATTAGAAACAGTTTGATAAAATAGATAAAAATCTAAATTTTAATATTAGTAAGTTTTGAATTTATAATTTGTTATTTGAGAAGTTGACAACTTATCTATTTTACTAAGTTTTACATTTTTGAAAAATTTTTAAACATTATTAAATTTAAATTTTATTTTTAATATAAAGATATAGTAACTTAGAAAATAGATAGGTTGTTAATTTTCTAAATAATAGGTTATAAGTTCAAAATCTACTAATAACAAAAATTTAGACAATTATTTATATAATATATAGATAGTATTATAATAATAGTATTTTGTTAATTAGTTGAAATAAAATATCTGTAATTATAATTATTTTAACATAACTAACAGATTATAGAATATCTATATAACTTTAATTAAAAAATAGAATACAATAATACAAGTTTAAAATAAGTTCATATTATTATATAAATTTGTAAAACTGAAAAAAACTAAAGCTTATCTAGAAAGACTTGAATAGAAAAGTAATATAAATCTTTTAATAATAATATTATAAATGTTAAATCTAAGAAATAAATATCAATATAAAAAAATCAGATGAGTAAAAACCTTTAAGTAAAAAAATATTATTAATCAAACTGCTAGTCAAAACTAAAAAAAATCAGATTAGACTCAATATACTAAAAACAAGTTACAATCCTTTTAAGCTATCTGAATTAGAAGTTTAAAAACAAAACAGAAATATACTAAAGTATTAGAAATATGTTATAAAGTAAGTACTAGAATATAGATAAACTTTACAAGAACAAACTCTTATTAATAGTTTATAGAGTAAATAAGTAATTAATTATAAGAATCTCTCAAACCTTATTGACAAATGTTGTGCTCTAAAATGTATAACAACTTGAAAACTAGTTTAAAAAAAGAAGGTACTGTATTGCTTAAATAGTATACTGGTTAAGTATATACAAAAGATTTAATAATAGTTATAATTAATAATACAGATAATTAGAGAGTTTAAACAAATAATCTCTTAATAGATTATAAGTATAACATCTAGTGTAGAACTTTAAGGTAAACTATTTAAATAAACAACCAAAAGTTGCGCATATAGCTAGCTATACTTTTATCTTTGTAAAAATAATTGTAAAACTAACCCTATATATGTTAATAAAATAATTATCATAAAATATAACCTTTAAACAAAAAAATTCTATTTTTAAAAATATTTAGTTCTTATTTTATTTATTATTTTTCTTTAAACAAAATATCTTTTATCCAATATTTATAAACTATAATTTGTTACAGTTTGGTAGTTTTTAGTAAATTTTATTACTAGGATATCAAAACTTAATAAATATTCAAAACAATAAATAAGTTACCTAAACAATTAATTTGCATTAGTTAATTAAACAAACTTCTGCCTATGCTTATTTAGTTGATTTATTTGACTAATAGATTGTTTATTTTTGTAAATATATAAAAAACAAACTAAAGATTAAAGTAAAAAATTTTTTTTAAAAAAACAGTTTAATAAACCAGCAATTGCTAACCAGAGATTGTAAAAACCAAATTATTAGTAAGTTGAAGATCTCAAAAAATAAATAATTGCTTAAGCAGATCACACTTAAACTATTAGATTAAATAAGTTTTTATTAGCTTAAAAAACATATATACTAATATAGAAATAAATCGATTTTTATTTAATCTTAATGAATAAAATTTTAATCTAATTTATGAAGAATTTCTATTTGTACATAAAATATATATACATGAAAAATATAGAAACTAATTAATATCTCAAAATTTTAATGAAACCATTTTTAGCTTTTAAAAAAAATTTTTTGCTCAATTTTGGTATAAACTATATCTTGTCCAATTCCGAACCCACCACCCTAAGAATTCATTTTTGTTTGTAAAAGTTGGTTTGATCGTCACATTACACAAATTTGTAATTCAATAAATTATATCCGTGTATAAACACTACCACTAAGTGTAAACTAATAAATTTTCAAAAAAAAATATAGTTAAAATTAATGTTTTCAAATTTATTTTAAAAATGATCTATTTTAAAAAAAATTTAGGAAAAATTTGCAAAAGAAACAGTTTTGTGTTAGCTACAGTAGGATTAGACTATTCTTATAGCTCCATATAAATTATTTAATTTAATTAACGTTAAAGATAAAATAAATTTATCGCCTGTGACACCATTAACGTCATCTATTTGATTATTATGCAGTACGACCATACTGTTATCATTATATTTTTACGCAAAGTAAATCATAAATAAGACGTAACATACGTATGTACTTTTTTCTGCAGTGTTACTGATAGATGTAAATTTATTAATTTTATTAATTGTACGATATATATTAACAAAAATTTGGTATCCCGATTTATATCCATTCATTACCTCCGTCCTTTACATTAACGCACAAAAACTTACCGATATTTGTATTTATTAGAAGTTTTTACATTTGCAAAGGCAATTACCAAATCATTAAAAAAATCGTAATAAAAAAAGTGGGATTTGTTAGAAATAATTTGATTACTCTTTTTTCAGTCATGACTAGATAAGATTATAGATATGTCAGAAAGTAAGGTTCAAGAACTAATTGAAATTGTTCAGAATTCGCTTGAAGAGGACCCTAGAACCGTAAGATTGGGAATGAGGGGTCTTCGCGAAATTCCACTTGAATTGATAAATTTGACAACTTCAAATAATTATAGAATTGAAAGGTATTTGTTGTTTATTCGTTCGCCTTTGAAGATTCTTTCAGCTAGAGAATGAGGTGGAATCCCCCAATTAATTTATTTTCTCTTATAGACTTGGGCTTGAAACAAATCATTTATCAACGCTTCCCACAGAAATTTGTAACTTAACATATTTAAGATATCTGAATGTTTCTAATAATGAGTTTAAAAAATTTCCTGAAACGGTAGCTGTAATCTACATATTTATATTTCATGTGCTAAATGTCAGTATTAATATCTTCATCTTAAATATCTGTCTTACAGCTATGCTTAATTCCAAGTTTGGAGATATTGGACATTAGTAAAAACAAAATTAAGAAATTACCAAAGGATTTTAGAAAATTGATGTCATTGAAGGTTAACTAATTTAAGTTTATTCTTGTATGCTATTATCCTTTTCATATTATTGTTATACGTCGAATGATGAACGCGTTAGAATTTTAATATGGTATGCATTAGAACTCTGTCGCTATTGATGTAATATGGAATCTTAATCGGTATATAACATGTATCAAGCTATGATTAAATTTCCAAAATGCTGTAAATTAATATAACACTTCAAATGAATACTATGCCATTACACTACATCGGTAGCGACCAGGCTCTAGCGCACGTATAATCATGATATAATCATGACTTAGAAAAAATAGAGATTTGACGTGTAACACTGTAATTTAATCATAAACAGTAAACCCCTAATCTGTTTATAAAACTTTAGCTGTTAAAAATATCTAGAAATCTTATAAAGAAGCTTCCTATTTATATCGCAGATATGAAAGAATTACAATACTTAAAAATTGATAATAACCCAATCCAATTTCCTCCAAAAAATATCCATATGATGCCAAAAGGAGAAGATAAAGAAATCATGGTACCTTGGTTAGCTAAATTAAAAGAATACCTAAGGCAATATGCAGGCAAGCTGTCCTATTTTTAGCATTTGAAGTTTTTAAATAATCTCTAAATATATTTTGATAATGTAGCCGGACGAAATTCTGTTGAAATGGAAGAAAGTGATAATAGCAGGTTTGTCGTAAAAGAATACGTTTATAAATTGATTTATTCATAAACCAACACTTTAATATTGGATGCTAACGGGTACTTATTTAGTAATAGTGACAATGGAATTGAACGAGATATAATAGCACGTAGTAAATCATTGAAGAAATCAACATCAATAGACACATACCTTCATCCAACTTCTAATTCTCCAAACGCAAGCACCAAAACTGAAAATGAACAGGGGTCATCCAAACTTGAAAAGAAACGGCCAAATTATAAGCTAAGCTTAGATTTTCCGATAGCACGTCGTGAAAGGAGTTACAGTAATGACTTTGATTCTATGTCAAAGAATTTTCGGAGTACATTTATCCGAACTCATTCGAAAAGTTATTCGCAAGATTCAATAAGTTCACATGGTAGCCAAAATAGTATTTCAGAAGAGCACAGTAGCGACTTTTATTTCCAAAAACTTAAAACACTTCCGCCAACCGATAAACTTCCGATGAGCGGTTTATCTTTAAGAGAGGCTAGTCGAAATATTTTATACGCTTTGTCTCAAATACATAAAGCGATGTGTCAATTCATATCCTTTACCGGCAGCGAAAGGATTTTCTTTACAGAGCTTAATAAAACAAATGCATCATTAGGACAACTAAGTATGAGATTACAAAGATTTGACATTTTTTCACAGAAAGCCGCACCAGATGCTGATCATTGCATTAAATTACTCGGATCATGCCAGGAAAATATAACAAATTTTAAAATTCTTTTAGATTTATTTAACAAACGTATCAAAACTTTAACACAATCACCGGATAACCTGCGATATTCGCGCACGCTTCTATTAATATTTCATGGTGCCATAGTAGATATTAAGTTTGCATGGGAAAATATATTACCTCTTTTAAATAACAACATGCCTTTTACAGGAATACCTATACCTATGCGTTCAAAGTCCATAACACGATCAAATAGTAGTAGTAATCTTAATGGGTATTCCTACTCTAATGGACTTTTGTCTAATGGTTCATCACACACGAATGGAATCAATGTTTCATCTGTTGGAATGTCAATAACGAATAATTCTCATACTGATGTCACATTTCCACCTCTGATATTTGAACAAATGCTTATAAAAGTTGATGCTGCTATCAAATGGGTTGAAAATGTCGGAAAACATTTATCTGAACATCTCGAGAATGCTCTTGGTTCATCAATGGATGTTCCTATATCTCCTGTAAAAATAAAATTGAAAGAGCTGAAATTACATATGAAAAACGTGTTTGACGTAACAAGGCAATTGAAAAAATCTTTATTGGCAGCAAAATTTTCACAAAATGAACATTTGAACATACAACTTAAAGTTTATAGTACCACAATCGTGTTTCTCCAGGTATGTTGAGCGTTTTAACTTAATAGTCTGTTTGAAGCTGAAACTAAAAATTATTGGTGTACAATAGGCAACAGTGAAAATGTCTACATTGGCTAAAGATATTTCACAGGAATGGCGACTTAACAACAAAATTATGTCAGGACTAGGACATGTTACTAAATCTAATATTGAACTTACAAATTTTCTTCGAGCAATTGAATATGAAAATTTGCCTATTCGCATACCGTCACCACCACCTCCAAGTGAGGCAGAATCGGAAAAAAGTGATGACTTTATGGTTTATAATGCTTTTTTGGATCAGGATGTTAATTCAAAATCAAAGATTACTTATGAAGAACAAACAGAGAATTCTAATTTAACTGCCGATGAGTCTACTATTCAAGACTAAAGCAAAATTCGTCGTTATGTGTTAATTATTCATGTTTTGTACTTCTAAATAATCTATTTGTAATTGTCCTACGTACATTCATGTAAACGTTATTATTATTACATATTAACAAAATATGACCTCGTCTGATATTTATACTTTTCAATAGACTAATTCCATGTTAGGAAATAGTCTATAAATATCGTTTTCTGATTATTAATATTTACTTTCGCTTGTGTAATTATAAAAAAAATTCTTAAACGCCAGTTATTGAACTCATACGTTTCATATAACTTTTGCAACATAAATTTCTTACCTTCATAAAAATTCGAGTCTCGGCATTCACGTGATTCAAGGATCCATGATCATGAAAGATACAATTTATAAGTCCTCTCACCTTACTAGATTCAAATTATGTTGAAGTTTAGTATAAACTCAAGGTAATAATTTAAATAATTTTATTTAGTACAAAATTGTGTTCTAAGAACTTTGCTACAGTGTAGATTTTCGTCTAAAATCTTTAACCAATCCAATAATGAATTCTCTTATATCAACATTAATAAAGGCATTCTGGCACTGCACGTATTTTGATTAAATTTTACTCATTTATTGTAAATAATAACGCCAACGATTGGAATGTAGCGCGTTTGCAACTATTTGCAACCGCCCACAAAAAATTCTCGACACGTGATCATAGCCAATTAGATTGAAGGAGCAGGTGTAACGTGAAAATCACGTGCCGGGAAATTATTTGTGAGTGAGCTACTAACGCTAATGTCTGCGATTGCTTATAATGAAATATCATAAATAAAAATATATAGAATTTGAACCTCTGCAAATTAAATAATTCTATATCAAAGAATAAAATGAAAATTTACTATAATATTCTATTTAGTCACGTCCTGATTTGTTTAATTAAATAATCAATACTGTATATAAAAATTAATAAAGTACCAATTATATAAAATAAATAAAGAAAAATTATCTAAATTTTCAACACGTTTATACATCATACATATGCTCGCACCGTTCAACAAATAACCTAATAAGTATAAATATCAATTATGATCTCTACGATGTTTCTGTCACATCATTAATCCTCAATTATCACTTTTCATCGTAATCACCAGATTGTCTCTATGAATAACGCATTCAGAATCAGCATATCCTAATATTTGTTCAATATCGGAACTTTGACATCCTTTGATTCTAGAAATCTCGGCAGAAGAATAATTTATGAGCCCTTTGCCAATCATTACAGCTTCAATATCATTTATATCTTCATGCTTTATGGTTCTTTCGATCTTTAAGTCAACGGCTTGGTGAGCAACAAAATATCCTTCTACCTTAACGATTCCGGCTGCGAACAAACTGCTTTTCTGGCCAGCTTTTGTAATTGCTTTAACAGCACCTTCATCGATAAATATAGTACCGACAGAGTGTAACCCATGCAATATCCACCACTTACGATCTAACATTGGATTGTCTTTGGCGAGGAATCGTGTGTGAAGAGGTAATGAATCTGAAATTTGCTTGTTGTTGGTGGGAGGCTGATTAATGATAGATATTATATTTTTAGGAGCTGATCCACGACATATGATTGTTGTTACGCCCGCTGCTGTTGCAAGATCTGCAGCAATTAATTTTGTTACCATTCCACCCGTTCCAAGTGAACTCCCAGGTGACGAAACAATGACTGATATGTAATTATATAAAGTTACTTGAAAGATTAGATTTAAAAAATTCTAGATATTACTTGAATTTTGCGGGTTCAAACCTTTATCTCTTAAAGCATTAATATCTTCAACTACCTTCACAGGCTTAGCGTTTGGATTCGTCATGGGATTATTAGTATATAGACAATCAACATCTGTCATCAAAAATAAATAATCGGCATTGACCATTCCAGCTGTTATTGCTGAAAGAGTGTCATTATCACCAAATTTGATTTCCTATTAAAAGATTTAAAAATTTTTATTTATAAATAAAATTTAAAAAGGTAATTATTATTCTCATTTAGCAATTAACTACTTACGCTCACAGAAATGGTATCATTTTCATTAACAACAGGAACTACTCCCATATTTAATAACTCAGAAAACGTATTAACAGCATTGAGATATTGTGTACGCTATTAAATATTCATAACTATCTTATTAAAGAAAATTCCAATATCTCCTGGAAAAGCAAGATTGTATTAGAGGAAATTTGTAAATACATCTGCCAGATCATGCCTAGTTAAAAGGACTTGTGCAATCGGCTGATTCAATTGACTAAACAGATCATCATACATTCTCATCAATCTTCCTTGACCAACTGCAGCTACGGCCTTTCAAACCCAATTAAGTAAATAATAATTATTATTATTATCTTTAATCGATAATGTGAATTACTATAGAAACTATTTTAAATATTTACTTGAATTTCTTTCAATTTTTTCGGTTTTTTATCCATATTTAATCGTCTTAAACCTATTCCGATAGCACCACTTGTGACCAAAACAACTCTGTGACCCATTGAACGTAATTTTACTATCGTTTCTACCAGAAGTGAGAGATTAGATAGCAACGGTAGATTCGTTTCTATATCACATATTGAAGATGTACCAAGCTTTATTACTAATGTTAATGACTGAGAGTTCCCAGTACGAGGGTTCTTGGACATGTTTAGTTAATTTCCTGAAATTAGAGAGGTTCAAATTTATGGGATTGGCTAATTTCAAAAAAATTTCACTGGCAAATCAAATTTCAGGATCAGGCGATCTAAAGTTTATTGTAGCACCAAAGCCCATGTGTTCGGAAAATTTCGGGAACACGTTTCTTATATGCTACTTCTATCTGGCTTACAATCACGTTCGTTAAAAATGCTTTCATTCACCAACATGGCTCGATCTTTTTCAGGGTTTCGTCTTTCGTTAAAATTTCGAAGGCTTCACTTTTCACCTCTCACCGAAGGTTTCCATTTCCACCGAAGGTTTCGACTTTCTCCGGGAATTTCACCTTTCGCAAGGGGCTTCGCTTTTCGTATTTCTCCGGGTTTAGGTTTCGTCTTTCGCCATTTACATAAATGGCTTCGCCTTTCACATTTATATAAATAGTTCGGCTAACAACTACTACAATTCGTAAAGATACAAATTCCTTAGAAAAATCGTTTTTCATGTCACCATTTCCAACGAGGACTCATACTTGCGGTGAATTGCGATTAAGTAATGTTGGTGAACGTGTGGTATTATGTGGATGGGCGCAAAAATTACGGTATTTTATCATTCTGAATCCAAAATGTTATCAATTTTAGGTGACTTATAATTTTAAAATTTCGCATTTTATTGTGGCATAACAGTACCATATCTGCGGATTTATGCTTCCTTCCATTACGTGATTCTTATGGAATAACCCAACTTGTTTATCGATCTTCTAACGATCTGGAGAAAAGTCGCCTTCTCAAAGATGAATTATCAAAATTGTCACCCGAAAGTATTGTATGTATGGAAGGTATTGTTATGAAAAGACCAGCTGAAACAATCAACAAAGTAGGTCTCTATTTTTTGATGTAACTTACTTTTTTTTGATTAATCTAATTTCATGATATTTAAAGCATTCGATGACAGGAGAAATTGAGGTCGAATTGGATAAATTATATTGTCTTAACCCTGCAAATAAGTTGCCTTTTTCTCCACATGATAAGAGCGTTGTAAGTATCTTTATTGATTTATTATAATTTATCAATAATGATATTTGCTTGCATTAAATAATTTAGTTATTATTATATTTTTCTTATAGCCAAATGAAGAAGCTAGGATGAGATATCGATGCATAGATTTACGGCGTGATTCTCTTCAAAACAACCTTCGTAAACGATCTCTGGCATCATGGACTATAAGAGATTTTCTTGTAAAAGAGGGCAAGTAGTAAATAATATATTTATATTATTATATTTTTGTATTACGAATTTTGCAATGGATTTTTCTCAAATGTACTTAGGATTTGTGGAAGTAGAAACACCAGCATTGTTCAAGTCAACGCCAGAAGGAGCCAGAGAATTTATTGTACCAACTCGAACAAAAGGTTTATTTTACACATTATCTCAAAGTCCACAACAAGTTGAGTTTTTAAAAAATACTTAATATCCATTTTTTTTTCTTACCAAAATTTAATGCTGTCATAATACTTATGTAAAACAGTTTCCTTTTGTTTTATGGCTTTATTTTTTTAAAAAAATTCATTGATGTGTACAAGTATAAACAATTACTTATGGTTGGAGGAATTGATAAATATTTTCAAATGGCGAAATGTTTTCGTGATGAAGATTTAAGATCTGATCGGCAACCGGAATTTACTCAAGTATTCAATATTCATTGGTTTTTATGACCTAATTTTAACTATTTCATTCTAATACATATATTCCCTTTAAATAATATAAAACAGATTGACCTTGAAATGTCATTTGCATCTATCACTAGTATTATGTCTTTAACGGAGAGATTAATTGTTCAAGTTTGGAAACAGGTTCTTGGAGTTGACTTAAATGATAAATTACCTTTTCCTAGAATGAGTTATGAAGATGCTATGAACAAAGTAATGTGTCTATAATCATGTTCGTTACGATACATATTGTTTATACATTTAATTATTACAACGTTGTTTCTACTACAGTATGGAAGCGATAAACCCGATACACGATACAATTTGGAGGTATTAATTAACGTCATTAATTTTCTTAATTTAAAATTCAACTTATGAAAAGCATACAAATTATTATAGATCAAGGATATTTCTAAATTTTTACCTGTCCTGCCAGAGCTTTCTGAACACATGATCGAATGTCTGGTAATAAAGAATGGAAGAATATTAACAGGAGGAGAAATTAAGGCTTTAAAAACTTTGAATCATGGCTTCGAGGTGCCAGCGGAAAGAAATATATCAGGCTCTGTAAGTTCAATGATGTTCCTTAAATTTAAGATTTAAAATATCTTATTTATAAGATGAGTCTTTCTAGAGGCCGGACTTTATTAGGATTACACC